CACGGGCCAGGGCCAGGAAAATTCCTAGTGACAGGGGGAGGGCTGGAGAAGAATTATCCAGGAGTCATGCTATCGGAATCCCTGCGATTCATGCTGACGCTGTGAGCCCTGGATGCCCTGTCCATAGAGCGCACCGTGGCTCTGATTCTCGCCACTGTGACCAAGACCTGCATCGGCACTTGCTAGATTCACCAAGTTAGACAAATGTCCACATACCACAGACCCATGTGGGTCTGATTTAAAAAACATCTAAAACTGTGTTTATAGTGGCCCGCTGTGGGCCCCGCATTTGACTCCACTACACAGGAGACAATCGCCAAAGCCACTGGCGATCAAGCTGACCTTTAAACCCTCCTGCCAGTCATTTCGGTAAATATAACCAATCGGATGGTGACACAAAGCAAAGGCATTTTTAAGATCCCTTGATAAGCTTTAGGAAAATTTAAAAGTTCCAAAGAAAGTTATCCCCCCCAAGCTTAGTCAAAAGACAGCGTCATTTACATAGTTTGGTGTCTGCATATTAAGAAAAGTGGAGAGAACTCGCCCAGCAACTATTTAATAAGCAGCTGCTCATTTAAAGGAGGCAATTCGATCTCACGCCTTGACTCGCGGTACGTTCCGGGGCAGGCGCTCTCTGCTGGTATTGCCCAGGCAGAGCAGTAGCCAACTTTCCCCCCTCCCTTTGAACCCCTCGTATGGTCCAGGTAATTTTCCTAAGGAGTCACCCGTTGTGTCTTACAAATTGTAAGGGTCTTTCCATCTCACGTTTAAAAGAACCCTAAGATCTTATAAAATTAATTGCTAAATTCCTACCACTGCAGAGATGGGACTCAGCCTTGGCTCCTGACTCACCGTCAGTGAATATATATTTCAAAAAAAATGCACCCACTTAATCCTGTAACTAGACGGGGCAAAGGAACAGTGCCTGCCGCGCAGTGAAGCCTGGCGGCAAGGCCGCGGCCATCCCTCCTCCCTGAAAATGAGATCGGTGGAAATGACTTGACTCGAGCAGAGTGACGGAGACACGAGAGCACCTCTGATTTGGTGACGGTGGGAGCGGGGCTCGCCTCTGCTCTCGGGGGTCGCGGCTGGTAATGANGACTTGACTCGAGCAGAGTGACGGAGACACGAGAGCACCTCTGATTTGGTGACGGTGACGGTGGGAGCCGGGCTCGCCTCTGCTCTCGGGGGTCGCGGCTGGTAATGATTTCCGCCGCCCTTGCTGGCCGGCAGCACCCTTCCCTGCTCTGCTCGTCTGTGCCGATGTCCCCGCTGTAGAGTAAGGAGTCCAGCTAGGAGCGACGATGGCCCTCGGGGACGCTGTGCGGCTTTGGCGGTCCGGGCATTTCTTTGTTTTGAACATGGCTCCAGAGAATAGGCCTTTTTCTGAGAATGACCTATCTTGGTTATACAGATAATTTTAATTATAATGGCTTTCTTTTCATTGGCTTCGGCGTTTTTATGAAGTACATGCCTTTGTCCCTGTGAGCCAAGTGAAAATTATATCTAAAATATGCGAGGTTGCTAGTTCCCAGCATTTTTAAAGGGAACCGTGAGAAACATCCAGAAAACACCACGGTGAGGTTTTATGATTTTAAGTCCCATAGGACGGACTGTTGTTACCATTCATTGCATATGAAATACAGGTTAGTTTAGTTCCTACCAAAATGTTCTAATGAACAAAAGCATGTCCTACAGGAAAACAAGAAAACATGACCAATTCAAGTCTAAGCATCATTTTTCAAAGAAAGTGTGACGTGAACACTGTATTCAGATCCTGTCCACACCGTCTAATGACCTTTTCCGTTATTTGAAAATGGCTGATTTTAAATAAAAGTTACTCTAGCTGCTCGAGAGAATGTACACAAGGAAAATGCTCCACTTCAGAAATAAATAAAAGGAAATGCCAATTCACCCTCACGCGTCCACAGGATTATCCGTCTCGCGCAAGCGACGCGTCTCCAAGGCAGCTGGGCCCCCGGCCGCCCAGGCACAACCCCTTCGTTCGCGAAGCGGGTTCCACGCGATATGAGATTTTACCAGCGGCTGTTCTCTCCACCCTCTCAGAACACTGTCCTACCCAGTCCTTCTAGGGGGCTCAGTGCTTTCTGGGGGGCTTAGTCCACCGTGTCTACCCTCCAGAGGCCCTGTGGTCCCCTGGCCTAGAGAACGCACGCGGGGTTGTAACTCTGATCACTTGCCTTCCTCGCAGGTGGGGCCTCGCCTCAGTCGTGGATCCACTGACCCCCTTACTGGCTCTTGCTGGGCCCCAGGGCACCTCTTGATAGTGACAAGTGACCTGGGAGGTTAAAGGGTCCAGGGCAGTTCTTATTGCCCATGACTTGAGTCTCGGCCCTTATAATCTCTGAATCTTTTCAATATCTCCCAAAATGCCTCCCCAATCCCACCCTTCGTCCTGTGGTCTCAAAAATATCACAACTTTCCTTTTCTTTCCCTTTCTTTCAACTACTTGCATCTCCAAGAACACTGCCTGCTTCGCTGCCCTGGTTAATCGCAGACCGTATTTCTTTTTATACCAAAAATGCATAAAGTCGGGGAAAATTTAAAACAGGCATGAAAAGGTAGTCAGTCTCCTAAAATGTTCGCTTCCAGTGTGTATTATGGAACCCAGCAGCCTCTCTCTAACGCGGCCCTTGTCCCTCCTGATCCCTCCCCCCTCCGAATCCAGGCCAAAATCAATGTGGGAAAGCAGGAAATGCTAAACAACGTCCTGAAGACATAAATGAAAGCCTTGCGTTGTGTACAAAGAAAACATTGACTTTTCCTCTCCTTTATTTTTTCCACTAGTTTTTAAAAAGTAAAAACTTTCGGAATCTCATTAAGTTCAAGAGGAATCCTACGGAGACTTCACCCGCATGTCCATGTTTGCTTAGAGATCGTCACTTTTAGACCATCAGCTCATCTCACTGTAATATATCTAAGGCCCGTTTGTTCTAAAACTATCGTCGATTAGGCATATTTGCTTCAAGAAGGCATTCTAGGGGGCTAATGCTTTGATAATAAGGTGTCCATAAAATAAACGGTTAGATCTTTCGCAGGTGGCTGGGAAGCCAGAAGAACGCGGCTCCCGCTCTCAGAGAGGGGGGGGGTGTCGGGCAGTTTCTGCACATAAATTGTTCGGTTCTGCTTCATGCTTCCCGAACACAAATTGCTCACAGGTGACACTATGATCACACACCTAAGAATCAAATACTTTCATACACCGTGGAAAGGTTATCTTTGCCTTGAAATATTAAGGCAAAAGTTGTTTTTGTGTGTTTTTTTCCCCTAATGTCCTTTGGTCAGTGAAGTTAAAATAAATGATTTATTTTAGATACTAAATAACAAGTATTTCTATGATAAATGTATATTCCTTACAACAAATCAGTGCCCCCTCCCCAAACAGTGAAGGTATCTTAGTGGCTCATGACTTCAAACAAGATGAAAATGATAGGAAAACGTCAAAGACGGAAAATGCACAAGCTAAATGGAGGCTGTGGAAAGAAAGGGTCCCATTTGTGTTCTTACTGAAATGAAGGAATATCTATAAAAACATTTCAAATGTAAGTGCTGAAACCAGCATTTATAATAAATGGAAGACAGAACGAGAGGCCTTTTTAATAGAAGCAGTCTGCTAATTTGAAATAATTAAAATCACTAATTGAAAATTCACAGCTATGCCTTTACACACACAGCAACTGCACTGTTTATATGTTTTCAATTGAAAGCAAGCAGAAAATTTGTCGGTATTTATTATAAGCAGTTGCTTCTGGGTGCCGGCAAAGAACAACAACAAAGCTGCAACAGAGAAGGTTCCATGGAAGCGGTGGGGGGGGTAACGTGTTTCACAGAGCAAAGGAATTTCCAAGAGAAGTGCTCGCCCAAAACTCCAAGCAACCATAAACCTGCAGGTTGGAATCATCAAATAAATGTCTTTCGTGTATAATCCAGTAAATGCAAGTGGTAATACGCCCTACAAAGATTAAACTGTATGTTTGTGATAATTACTATTCAAAAGCAAGGAAGACCTTAGAAGTTCTTACTGTCGTTGCAACTAGAAAGAGGTAGGAGTCTTCTCCCGAAGGTTTTCCCACTTACCTGTGATTCCGATCCGAGCATCTCTGTCGTTGTACTTTTAGCCAACGGTGAGTCAAAGCGACTGCACCTCTGTGACGGTGATGTGACCCATCATGATAGGCAAAGAGACTGTCTCGTAGACACCACCACCATCAGGCTTTAGACAAAACCATGTGGGCGCACTGTTCTGCAAACCTACCTGAAGGTGTTCCATATTAACTTACACATAAATATTAAACTATAGCCGTGACCCCCTCTAGGGAAACCTGACGGGTGGAGATCCAAGTTTTTAACCAGACATAGGTAACCAGAAATCGGGTGCAATTCCCATGAACCAAAAGTCTCTTCGCTTTACATAATGAGTCATTGTGGGGGTTCATAACACAGAAATGTACACATTCAAAATGAAAATGTATATGGAACGATCCTTTTAGTCACATATTTTATGTACTGTAAACACGGCGTAAGAAACGCCTACATTTCTGCTATAAACTTAATGTGACAAAATGCTACTTACCAATGTGATTGCCACGATACTTGCATTTTTAGCAAACAATATAGAAAAAGGAGGACAACAGGTCTTTTACACATTCTGTACATTAAACACTAACTGAAAGCATAAGATAAAAAGCATTTCTAAGGGGGCAAAGAAAGACCCTCCCACTGGGATCAGCCAGTCAGCTGGAAGCATGTTTTCATCTTTCATTGACGGGTCTGTGTTCTTCTCAATGGGACACAGACACACACACACCCCTTGATGCCTTCGGTGACCTGCCTATGATCCTCAAGAGGAAGCTTTCAGACATGAACGGTTCCACCACGAAGTTTATGAGCAGTCGCGGCTGGGTCACATCGGCACCCAATCCGACCCACGTTGGTCCCTACCTGTGACATCCAACGGTAACAGCAACAAGGTGACTTACCGGCCCGAAGGAATTGCTGTCAAAACTGTGCCCGTGATGATCGCCTTCCACCCAGATATGACCACGAGGTACCTTGACGTAGCGGTTTTTGTGCCCCATGGTTCTAGGAAGGAAGAGCAGAGCCCGTGAGACTAGAGCAGGAGGGAGCCAGGAGCGAGGCTCGGGAAGCGAGGAGGCCTGACCCTGCCATCGCGACACAGCAGGTCGCCGCGGGTGACGCGGGGGGCCGCGCAGGAACCGCCTGCTGAGGGCACGCGCGCTGGGATTCTGAGCCCCGGCCACACTTTTTCTTTTTCTTTTCCCATTTCTGTAGGGAGGAATTCCTGGCCAGTGTGACTCAAGTGGTTGAGCATCACCCCATGCACCGCGAGGGTCACGGGTCCAATTCCCGGTCGGGGCACAGGCCCAGGCTGGGATTCGGTCTCTGGTCGGGGTGCGTGCAGGAGGCAGCCAACCGATGTCTTTCTCTCTCCCTCTTCCTCTCTCTCTTTAAAAAAACAACAACAATGAAAAGATATTTCTTTTAAAAATGCACTAGCATCAAGTATTATGCTTTGCTACATAATTTAATTTACAATATCCTAAATATGTTTTTATGAAAGTCAATAAGCCCTAACAAAATACTAATCTATTTTTTGCCCCTAACATTTCCTTCTAAGTCAATATTCAACCCTTGGTCAGTGGTAATCTTCCTTTTTTTAAGTCAAAGAAACTTCTCACACCACCTGACAGCACTTTTCGTGACCTCTTAATTCTCTAAACTTCAGGACGTATCAGCAAGAAAAAACACTGGTGATCTCGTGCTGGACACAAACTATTGATGTCAGTTGGAAATTTTTGACCATCTGAGTTGGAATATTGCCCTTGAAAATGAGGAAAGGTTTAACCACTCTGAAGACTGTGTACTCCGTGAAGATCAGCAGTCAGGGACACACGTTTACAGAAGCATGCGGTGAGCCCACGGCTGAAAAGGACACGGAATTAGGAGAGGCCTGCGTTGGTGGCAACGGAGAAGGTGGCAGCCGTCTCTCCTGCGCTGCCTAACTTTTCCAAATTTATTAATTAGGCTAAAATGTTCATCCCTTTTGACCCAGTTGTCCTCGTAGTAGAGCTCCGAAGAAATAATCAGAAATATGAACAAATACTTATTATTATATACATGTTTATCTTTCTAAATATCCAGCAGCACAGAACTGGTTAAATAAATTATCATACAACCAGTTAAATTAAAGGGACAGAGAGAGAATAAAGTATTATCCCAATTCTATAATAAATCCTTCAGGGGACAGAGTCTGTTAATTTTTCTTCTTTTTAGTCCCCAAAACCTTCGGGAAAACACCTCATCTAATGACGCTTTTCAATAAATGTCGGCTGGATAAGGGAATGAATGGATGCCACCCCCAAGTCTACAGAGCTAAGCTCACGGGTCTTTGGGGTGGGGTCCCCATCAGGCCATTTTTGTTAGTGAGTCGTGCGTGTGCAGAACAACACATAAAAAAGACAAACTGAACGTGAATTGGCGCAAGAGCAATTGAAACTATTCGTTATCTGGGACGGTTTTTAATTTTCGAGATAATTTCAGTGTTGAATTACTTTGTGCTCGATCAGTAAATCATTCACGCGAGGAAGCGATGTTGCGGCCCGCAGAAGCCACCCGTAAGTTAACGAGTGCTGTTTATTTTTAATTACCACTGGGAAGAAAAGTCTCGGCTTTTTAAAGGAAAGCGAGACCCAGTTGGTCGCGTCTTACCATCCCACACTCTAATAAAAGGGTTCGGTGAAGACCAGCCAGTTACCTCCTGACACCCCGACTGCTTCTACCGGGGGGTGGCCTCTCGGAGCCAATGCCCCGCGTCGGGTGTGAACGGGGGGAGAACGCCCTTTCTTCCCCTGAACTGTCGGCAAGCCCCCTCCCCCAGGAAGCCCGAGCATTTATTTGTTCGCCTTAGGAAGACAGCTATTTTGGATAAATAGTCATAAGGAAAACAATCACCTGTCTTGTCTCTTGGAAGAATCATTCAAGCCGAAAATGAGGTAAAACCAGCATAAAATCATTCCTGCACTGAAATGGTAGGTTTTGAGTCAAACACACACCAGGAAAATAATCTAAAACTCAGATTCGGTTTCAAGGTCATATAAACCAAGAAGGCAAGATACGTGCGACAGGAAATGACCGTGCCGCAGAACGACCCCGGGCCGTTCCCCATTCCCTTGCATTGGCCATCTGGCCTAAAAGGCTGAAACGCGCCCGCCTTCCCACCCTCCCAGCCCCTGGCGGGCTTGGTTCGCTTCCCGGCATCTCCCCGCACGCCCCTTACCGGTTTGTTTGCTCGCGGCCCGTCTCCCCCACCGGGATGTACACTCGGGGAGTCCGGCTTCCTTGCCGGCTACTGTATCCCCCGAGCCCAGGAGCAAGCGGGGCGCGGGGCGCCCCACAGGCACTTGTTCAAGGATCTCGTACCCCGTGGGAGAGCATGGAGGGGCCTGGGGAGCATCGTGCTGAGCGAAATAAGCCGGGCAGAGAAAGACAAGCACCACGTGATCTCACTCATACGTGGGATCTAAAGAACTTAATAAACTGACGAACAGAACAGA